TCTTGTAAATTGTTTGTAAATAAACCAAATTTACAGAACACACAAATAATTTGAGGATAATTATTGCTTATTAATATTGATTTTAAAATAAATACGAATTTAGGTATATTAATTAAATCATTACGGTTTATAGATCGACGATGGATATTTCGTGCATTTCTTTGCACCTACGGATTTGAAGCCACTTAGGACCCACGTCATATTTGTGCTCGATGTTAGTGGTTCAATGGTTGGACAGAAATTACCTCAAGTGAAAGAAGCTATGGGTCAAATTCTTTCAGAAATCCATTCCGAAGATTTTTTCACGTTGATACTTTTCTCAGATTTCGCTCAAGTAAACGTGCAATTTTCTTACACAGACAAATAAAATGTTTGCTAGTAAATTTTAATTATTTGTCAATGAAATTCTCGTACGACAGGTCTGGACAATAAACGCTACTCAAGAAACGTCGAATCGCTGGGACGAAAACGGTAGCAACTGGAAAATGAACAATAATTTTAGTTTGGAGACATTGGGAGAAAACCGTTTCGTTTTTCCGGCGACCGAGCAGAACATACAATACGCCAAGAAATTCATTCAGGACTTGACATCGGAGAGCAGTAAGACACGATACAAGGATAAATATTATACTATGCAAAGGGGTGACTAGGGTGGGGAGGCTAGGGGTTATACCCTCCACCTTATTGTCCGTATAAATATCCATCATAATTGTGGATTCGGAATTAGCACCAAAATTAATTTCTATATGTATATTATTACTTATCACTTATAACATCCTCCCACCATTCCAAAAATTTCTGACCGGCGATACTGTTGATATAAAAACCAAGTATGAAGTAGTATGATTACGATTGTATAATTGTGTACTGTTTTACAATAAGGTACAAATATGGAAGATGCCCTGACCAAAGCTCACTTGATCGCCAAATTGGGCGAAACGCGTTTCAAAGATGGTGCTAACACACCAAAACCTATTATCGTGTTTTTAACCGACGGCGAACCGACCACAGGGATTACCGAACCCCAGGAATTGATTAAATATGTTTCTAACACAAACGAAGAGAAGTGAGTTGATAACTGTTGTTGTATACCTAATRCTATAGTGTACGACATTGTTCGTGTAATAATAATAACTGCTCATCATTCGGACTAATGTTCGTTATTGGCTAAAATCGTTTGCTAAATACGATTAAATAAATAAAGAGCCCGGCAGGCCACCATAGCCAGAGACGTGACGGCGGAAGACGGGGCCTAGACTATTTATAATAAAATATGAAAATATAATGYGATAGTAATGAGTGGGAGACTGGCCCACCACTGCTAATAAGATTTTGTATTGATTATTCAATAAACGATGGGGGCCGGAGGAGAAGTATTGGCAACATAGTTCCTTCTCCGGTCCTCGATACCATAKAAAAAAATAAAATAAAAAAAATACGATTAAATAAAACATTTGGTAATATAATGATGTTGATTGTTATTATTAGGTATCCGATCTTTAGTTTGGGATTTGGYGAAGGGGCGGATATTGATTTCCTTAAGAAACTCTCATTGAATAACACCGGTTTCGCAAGGGTCATTTACGAAGCTTCGGATGCGTCGTTACAATTGCGTAACTTTTACAAGGAAATATCGTCKCCCGTTTTGTCCAACGTCACCTTCAAATACATTGACGAACAGGTAAAAATCAAAAACAGTGTTAGAGTTTGTGTTTTTATTCATCATAAATCGATTGTACATTTACAACTTACAGGTCGACAACGTTACTGTGACAAAAAAATCATTTAACCTGTTGTTCAAAGGCACAGAATTAGTAGTGGCCGGAAAGTTGAAAGATGGTAAATCGGTTGATTTTAACGGCACTTTGRACGCCGATTCAACTGAAGGAGATTTCAAAGGTCCTGTCATYATCACATGTTTTGATGTCCCCATCGCTCCTCCAGACGTTGTTCCTCAGAAAAGAAGAATTGGTAATTAATTATATTGTCGTGACTGTCGTATACACAATTTATGTGTTCATTGCGCATGTACACAAGGTTTCGTTGACAACTTACTAGAATTTTTTTTTTTTGTATACCGATAACAGGTCATCTAGAGAAATTATGGGCATTTTTGAACATACAACAACTGATGGATGAATACGAACTAAACAAAAATGAGAATTCTACAGCAAAAGCTAAGGCACTCGAACTAGCATTAGAAGTCAGTATTAATAAACATGTATTTTTAACTGCATAACTTTTGTTAAAAATGTATATTTTATAATATTTTTGTGCATGGGATTTTTAGTACTCATTTGTTACTCCGTTAACGTCCTTAGTTGTTGTCAAACCTAATGATACAATTACATCAGCGGCTCCCGAAAAAATAAAACCACTTAACGATCGATATAATTTCGGTAGGTACCAAACCTATTGATACGATTTGTTTTGTAAAGAGAGAACTGACATCATTGAATTTCATTTTATTTTAATGTTTCAGGTTCTCTAATGGCCAGCAGCCCACTTTTTCAATTAGGTGCGTCTTGTAAAAACATTCACTTATAGGATATCTGGTACTTACACCAGTGACATTAAATTTTGAAATATTGTATTGTTTTAGGTTCATCTGCAGGCTCGATGATGTCGGCAAACAGTTTTGCTTTACATCCCGCACCTCCAGGTATATCAGCTATTTCGTTGAAAGGTATTATTTTCAAAACCATTTATTTATGTCCTTTAACTGCGTTCAAGATTCCAAAATAAATTGTTATTTATATTATTATAATTTGTTGTTGTAGCTAGTTCTGGTGTTGTTAGTCCTAGTCTATATTCGGCCGTACCCGAAGATGCATTAATTGCTGCATCCGAAATGGTTCCTTTTTCAACTATTTCGTCAACTCTCGTTGCAGATGCAGATAAATTAGTGCCGACCTCGGTTGTAGATTCTCCAAAAATTGTAACAGAGGAATCAAATTCTTCATCGTTACACGATATCAAAGAACTAACATGGCTGAGTGATTCTATTACATTGAACGCAACTAATGCAGTTTACCAAGTATCATTCAATACGGTGAGTGATCCCTGACTGGTACAGAGAGTTTTGATTTATAATTTATTACAAAATTTATGTTGTACGTTTATTGTTCAATTTTTGTTTAGAGTGGTCAATCTTATCAAAACTGTACAACACCCGACCAAATCCATGGTAATTGTAAACATTTAAAAGACTGCGTGGTGGCTTCAATCCTGAACTCATTTGATACATACCTTTCACTGTTTTGTCCAATAGAATCATTGTAAGTACAGCATTTTTTGTATGGTATACTATTATAATTTTGTATTGTAAACTTGCAAACATTTGAGCCTATGAAATTTGTTGGTATATCAAGTCATTTAAATTATATAGTATTTTATACTTAATTCTATAAATTAATATAAATTTGTTTTTTTCGAAACTTTTTTCCTCTCTCAAACAAAAAGAAATTTTTGTTGTAATCTAAGAAAAACGTTGAGTAATATCGCATAATGGCTATAAAAAATATTTATTCATAATTTATTATCGCTCAA